CCCACCTCATGACCTAGTCGCCCATCGAAACGAATTCTGTCTCGTTGAAAACCACCCCACCTATGCACCTCTCTGCTTATTTCCACCACCTCAAAGCCTTTCTCTCGACTCATCATCCATATCTCTTGGTTTGCGTTGACAACTGCTCTTTGCAGGTTGCCGTCACGTACTGGTGCCTCCGGTATCGTGCATATCACTACCTGTACCCGAGGAAAAGTGGCTCGAATGTCGTCGACCCCTTTCGCAAGAGTGGTTCCTAGTCCTGCTGTATCTTCATTTAAGACGTCGTTTAAACCACCTGAAATTATCGTGAGGTTTCGTCTATCAGCTGCAGTTTTGAGTTTTGCGCTCGCTTGTCTCATGACTGCATCCAGCTTGCGTCCTGGGAACGCCCTGCTGTGTTGGGGGCTGGCTGGTCCCGACGAAGCAGAAGAAGAAGACGGCCGACGGAGACGTACGTGGCCGGCGGGGACACCGACCAGCCCGAACACGCGGGTTGGCGCGAAACGCCGAAGTAAAGAACAACAACCGTACTCCACGGTTACCCAACACACACTCTCTTTATTTTACAGTCGCCTTGAAATCCTAGATGCCAGAGCGGCCATCCTCACATGTCAATCTGAAACCGAAACCGAAAACCCAGAACACAACATGCCCCTACTGCAACCCTCTTGTCACCTCTTGGCCTCTCTTTTATGGCTTTTGTGCGTCGATTTAAATTTGAGTCCCAGGCGATTATCACATGCTGTGACTTTTCAGCTTGAGCGTCCTGCACCTGGTGGTTACTTGCACCTGCGACGCTGGCTGCTTTGTCCCCTCCCAGCCACACCACTAATTCGCTGAAGCTGGGCCTTGCGACAATTGAACCGGCTGAACCTGTTTTTTCTGAACTTGCTTGCTCTTTCTTTTCCGCCGTTATGGTTGCCGGTTCCCTACTGTTCACTCTGTAGGCCGCTCGTCTGTTCCCCTTGGATAGTGTTTCCAGGCAGACTTCAGCCTTTCTCCCATAGCCCTCGTTTTCTCTGACTCTGTCGCCAACGCAATCACGAGCTCGGTGATTCTCATCAGCAGGTCACTCTGGGCAACCATCATTTTCTCCATTTTTTCCTCGACCTCACATTGCCTACACTTCGCGTCAGCCTCTTCTTCTTCCGCTTCTACACTTAGGTCCACTTTCAAAGCCACCCCACATCCTGAAACTTCAGTCTTTTTAACCATGTCTTTCCGACACCAATTGTCCCTACGACTTGTCTCACTCGATAATTACAAAACTCGAGCCCTGCCCTACGAAAAGAGAAAGTCTAAGCTCTCCTACAAAAATTTGCGTGTTCAATGCACGTGCACCTACCCCGCGGGATGGCAAAAGAAAAAAACCAACAAGAAAACAAAAAAAATCAAACACACACACACACGCACAAACTAATACCTGGTGACTGACCCCCGAAAAGCCCTACAATAAAATAAGTGCTACAGGGGTTTTAACTGCTGCCTTATAACTATAAAGACAACCTCAAAACATGCAAAACAACTTATCTGCGCAGTCGATCAGGAGTGCTCAAAAAACGCGTGGACAAGTAGCGGCCTCCCACGGCTATCTCGGTAACTTGATTTTTCGGTCACAGCACACAGATGATTTTTCGCTCACATCTAACGGGACTGACGCCGGCGGCGGGTTGTCTACGACACGAGCTCTTTAACACTATCGCGTTGAAATTTGCCCTCTTTTCGCCGACTCGGGCAAGGCTGAAGCAGAGCAAAGCTAGCCGGCACAGGCTGCATGGACTGCAGGCACACGTAAACTTACGCGCCAATGCACAAATTGCTCACGCGATCACATTGCGATTCACGAGTATTAGCTCGTTATCAATCGGGTTTCCTTGCGAATTGCTTAGCGATCGCAGCACCAAGTACCTTATTTCTGTAAATAAGTGATTGGCCTGACTTGCATATTTGATGTTTGATCTCGATTAGCTTGCATCTTATGTTAACGTAAGCCACATTGGGTAGTAAACGAATTAATACTACAGTTAGGCTCAGTTTTTGCTATTATTATATAAAGCTCCACACATACTATATGTTGTGGGGCATGACTGGCCATACGATAATCTCAGTACCTAGTGATGATTAATGAAAATACATAGGATTTTGCATGCAGAGACCACATTGTGAATGAGGCCCGCTGTAGATAACTCATGAAATTTTCACTACCTGGCACTCTTCATCGTGCTCTCATATCACACATTACATGGTCCTTTACCGCTTCGCCTCCATCGAAATGCGACTGCTGCGGCCAATACCAAACCTTTACCTTTCAGGTAACGTCGCCGATCTCCGTTGAGGCGCTGTATCATCGTGGATGTCTACCTAGTGTCTCCACAGCCACCATCATCCCCCATGAAAAGCAAAAATTATTAAAAGCAAGACCAGAACAGACCAAATTGTTTTAGGACTCATGAAGTCTCAACTGCAGGTGGTGGTGCTCTGTTAAAACGGAGTGCGCTCCAACTTCCCCTTCAAAACTTGAGGAGTGCTCTGTGCTACTTGGCTCGGCTGTTTATTCGAAAATGATTGTTCATTTGATAACGAGATTGCGCTATCACAGGAAAACGCTTTTGTTTTCCCACTATCTGGAAACTCTCACAAATTTGTTGCAAGTATATGGGCCACTTTTTTCCCCTAAAGTTACTTACTTTTTTCTGATTGAATTTTCCTAACTAAATTACTTTCGTACTTAGTTTCCCATTACCACTGTGGGTTTTCATTACACCCTGTCAAAAATATAGAACCTGAAAAGGCTTCATACGGGAGAAACTCAAAATTACGATTGGCCCACTAAGCCATGTATCATAATGAAAGCTGAGAGTGAGCACGCAGAACAGCACAAGCGTCGTCTCCTTTGTTTACGTTCTCGTCATGACTTACCAGCCCCTTATGAATGCACTTCGTGTAATATGAAACTCGTTGTGGTGCGGGGATTCACCTTGGAATGTGCTCGGAGAACGCAGCTTCAGGATAGACTTTTCGTAATGTACAATTTGCGCTCTTGTGTCTCCTATTCTTTGATTTACGATGTTCGCTAAATCTGCAGGTCGATTTGGGCTGACGCTGGCTCCTCAACTGTACGCTGTGTTCGCTATCGATGTCTGGGCGAATGCTATCGATGATGCCAACTAGAACGCTCCTCTGAATGGTCAGTGTTAAAGAAGTACTCTGAACATTTTTTCAACTGACTATCCTGTCACTTCACAATTTAAAAAAGATAATCTGGCAAGGGAGTGCATGTTTCATACCAAATATAAGGCGTATCATAATAGTGCTCTTTTCTACAGTGTTAGAGAAGCACTCTAAACTTTTTTAAATGAACACCATCTTACTTTATCATGGAAAACCAAATTGCTTCATTGAGAGTGCATGTGTCTTCATTTTCTCATTTCACTGACCACCAGTTATCTACCCTTAGTGTTCTGTGGTCCACGTGTGCAGAAAAATTGTGTAGTCTACTAGCAGCTCTCTTCATCACAAAGAACCAGTCACCAGTGCAGAGTAAAAAATTGGGAACTCATTCAGGGGTAATATAGCCCAAATAGAGACATCAATCACGCTTTAGGTGTCCTTCTAGAAAATATTGGTCTTCGAGGGTCTTTGTATAACTAACTAAATATTTAAACGAATATTAGAAGCATATCCGTTCGGGAGAAAAGATCAATCTAATCTCTCGCGATTCTTTAGAGCACCGCAAAATTGTTGGCACTTTTTTTCGGGTAATGCAGCATTGCCTAACTTCTGGCACCCTTTGCATTGAACCATCACTCTCGCAGATTTTTCAGGAGCTGTGACAGCTAACGAAGCTACTGTGTCACGGTTTATTTAAAATTCTCGTTTGCTACCCTGTTTTAGGGGCAGAATAATTGGCGAATGAAGACGGAAAACTAAGTGGCAGAACAAATACGTATGTGTTCAAAAGTACCTGCTGAGGTGTTGTGCTGTTATTCACAGTATTTCAGGCTTGAGTGGGTCACAGTAGTCAATTTGGGATGAGTGTGGAGCGCAATAAGAGCCTTGCACATATAAACTCAGGGGGCCAAATTTCTACGAAGGGCAGTGCTCTGCAGCTGTGTAAAGCAGAACATGGGAGAGGCCCTTGCCCTGCATGGGGCGTTGTTAGGCTGGTAACGATGATGAGGGTGAGGGGTATACTGATAGTTGACTGACATGCAAACACGTACAGTTTGTTGTTCATTTACAGCGCCGGTTGTTCCAGTAAATAGCAAAACTCTATGTAAGCCAAAGACAAGCTCTCTTACGCACGTTTTTCTCCTGAGCAATACCGTCTTGTGTAGTGAGCAAAAACAAAAAAATCTACCAGGCATGCATGAAACGTGCAGCACAGTCACAGCGAAAGCTGAAAAGATTACCTTTGTAAAGCATTTTCTTCCACTTTTGGGGCAGCTGTTACAATCAGTCTCGTGCTACTCACAACGCCATGAATAATTTGAATCATTCGTTATGCTATTAGTCGTCCTTCTTCGAAGAAGGACGACTAATGGCTAGACAATTGTGTGGCATTCCAGACAGTTCTTTAATGATATGGTTGATGTTGGAGACGAATGGTCTGAGGCTTTTAGATTAGGTTTCAGCAACTAACGACATGCTCATTGCACAATTTGCATGAAGTGATGCATGGCTTTTGTTTCACTGTTATAAAGCGCCTTATTCTGCATGTTTACGCGATTCCTTATCCCACAGGCATAAGGTCAGTTTAAAACAGAGGTTCCAACCTTTAGCATCGCTGATTAGTAGAACATTACGCTTTCACAAAGGGAATCCATGCTTCAACCCCGTTCCATCGTTTTTGCTTTTTTTCTTATTTGCATTTTTTTATTGTGCGGCTACGGGCACTGGTGGCGGTGGCAGACAACTTACCTTGTGATCTCATCACAGCTTTCAATGTAAGATGAACAGGTGGAGCATCAGTAGATGTACTACTTATGTCACAAGATATGTATGAAAAAAACTTTATTAACTCGCATTTCATCCAAGCTACTCTGTTTTATTTGATAGTTGAAAACTTATCCAGGTGTCTTCATTCAGCTCATTATGCTGGACATTGTGTAGTGCAGTGTGCCGGGCAACTGCTTTTTGGGCATTGTCTAAAGGGATATAAGAGATATTTCAATAGAAGTTAGAGCAGTTGTCTATAAAAATTGTACAGCACTTATTGTATGCCTAAAAAGTTGTTTCACTCGCTCATTCACAGCCACGAATCTTTCAGCGACCATGGGGGTGCTGGTTAGTACATAGATTTGCCTAGTCTTTGTTAGTGGCTTTGCTTATTGTTGTGCTTTGGTCTGTTCCGCGTAAAGGAACGAACCGTTTTGAACTTCATGAGCAGATTGGTCAGCCTAAAAGGTGGTGAATGCAACTGCAGAACATTTTCTGGCTGGTGTTACCGGACAAAGCAGCTCGAGGCCATGATAAGCCAAACGGAGCCGAAAGTACGAAGAATAAACAAATCTATGTATTACCCATCATTTTCACACTCACTGAAGCGCCATGCGTTGCCCCTCCCATAAACAATAGTATACATGGGAAACTATATACTGTAGCTCAGCTGTGATTCTTTTCTGGCAAGCGAGAGCGAGGAAGGCAGTATTGTAATTACACATGTGGGGCACAGGCCGTGCATGCTACGAGAGGCCCCCGACGTTTTGACTAAAGTCACCAACTGAAGCCGTGTGAAGGCGTTTGCACTCAGCTTAAGGCACGCTAAATCTGATACACGCGTTGATGGTGTTAAATGCATGGATCACAGCAATGATAAGTTACCTTACTTTACCGCTCCAAGACATCGGCACCAGTCATCCGACGAAGACCACTATTATAGACAACTGTGAGCTATAAAAGACGAGTTTCTAAGCAGCAAGAGCTCGTGGCCGTGGTGCAATAGATAGCGTGCTCGGCCCCTTTTTCTGCAGATCGAGAGGTTTTTGATCAACACCGTTGACGAAACTTATCTCTTTGATATCTGATGGTGTACTTCTTTGGCGTCATTTTTGAGAAGGAAATACATAACTGATATCTTTGTGGTCCCTGGCATAAAATGCTTTCGTGTTAAAAAGTCGTATCTGACAAAAACGGTCAGTTATGGAAAACTACTCACGGTTATGTGCAGCACAAATCCACTGGAACATTCTAGCATTTTCCATGTATTGCACTGCAAACTATATTTGCTTCCCACGACATTTCAGACCACTAATTGGTAATTCAGCCCACTCAGTCGGCCCCATTTTAACACAATAATTGCTCCAGGAACAATTAAGCTTTGTGGTGCGACACTGTAATTATAGAAGTTCCGGAGTCTCTGCTTTGTATTATTTTGTGTGGTTTTTCGTGAACTCTTTTCGTCAGATATAATTTTTTTGCCTTTTCGACATTATTTACAGAGGCAATGAGTGTCGTCGAAATGATGGCGCTGTGAGATGTCCCACACTTGTGGTCATGCCCTATATCCATGTCATATGAACTTTGCCACAGTATGACATATACTCTGCGATGCGCACATTTATATTTTTACGACTGACCAGTATTCCTTAGATTATACATGTTATCGTATTATGTTTAAGCCCAAGACGTTGTGTTCTCAACTACTTATAAAAATAGACTTAAAACTACTGCGGTGACTTCCAAACCAATACATATATTGTGACAGCAGCATGAAAATAAAATTATTCCTAGTGCTAGAACTCGATACCTCGCGAGTGTCCGTGCTATTATTTTGATTAAAGCATTGGGTATAATCTTAGAGCCACCACGTGGTTCAATAGGTAGGTGAATATTGGTAAACGTATTTTGAGGGTAACTGTACGCTCCATGTAAATAATTACATTATTTCACATGAATGAACGTCGGTTATCGTGGTATTCAAATCGTATTATTCTCACTGTGCACCGAAGAATAAGCGCTAATTTTGAGCTGCGCATGCTGTGCTGCCCGTCGGGTCAAACATTGCGGTAGATGTGGGGGTATATTTAGTCTCTAGGCAATGCGCAGCCCCTCAAAGAAGTCCTTGTGTTGTCATTTTATAAAACATGCAAGGTCTTCTATTTGTTCGAGTAAGACCATTAAAAGGCTAGAGCCATCTGTTGTAGACATTTCACTACCCATATCACGTTGCACGACGAAGGCATAGATTTTTTCAGACATGTTAACGCCGGAACTAGAAGACCACGTAGAGTTCCTTTGTCAAGTGTAACTTACTCAAAGACCCACAGCATGGTGAAGTAATGCAGCTCGATCGAGTCGAAACTCGTTAGACCAAACCTGCAATAGAGTAGAAATAGAAATACTTTGATGACTCCGGGCTAGATGTAGACGTGATGTGTACAGACATTTTAATTTTTCTTGCGTTGCCTTTGCAGCGATATAATTTCTGGCTGTACGTTAACTTGTCGTTGAAAGATTTTTAGACACCCTGTTACCGCGTAATGCAGTTAGCACATATTGAATACGAAGGCCGATTTAACAAAAACTTGCTCGCACATATAATTTGCTTGCCAAGGCGTCATTGTCGAAGTGACATAAATCAATCAAATACAATAACTTTTCTTGGCAGAGCTGCTGTGAACACAACTCCCCCCCCCCCTCCCGTTTTAAAGCGGGTGTCTAGAACGCACCCATGTGGATGCACTGGAACCTCAGGAACGCGCTGTTCCTGTAGTGCAACAGAAATGCATCGGAACACTTTATTTGGCGACACTGTTGAAATTCTTGGTAGTGGAATGAAAAGTGCCCTGGAAGGCAGGATTCTAAAAAACATACGGGTGGTTTTCACAAAACACAAACCTTTCCATCTCGCCGAAGTTTGATGTCGGACAAGTTTTTGATCACAGCTTTGGTATTCAGCTGTTGGAAGCATTCATGAATGCTGTGAAACACACAAAGGCTGTCATGCCATAAGGAGAGTGCTATCAAGCATAATGTCCACCCCAGTGAAGCAGTCGTGAGAGTGGTTCGACCCAAAGGTCGGGGATTCAATCCAAGCCAGAGGCCCGTCTATAGTGGGATGTCAGAACATGTTATAGGGCACAGGATAATCGAATTTTCTGGAGCGAGAGCGACTCTCATGATCTTATTGCGGTTCTGGATGTAAACATCACATATTCATAATATTATTATTTTTTATTATTATTAGGCACTTTGTATGCTCTCTTAGGTCGCTGCGTCACGGTTAGCCTCTATTTCTCTGCTTAGTTATGAGAGTTTAGCCACAGCCACACACTGTCTCTGCCTGAGGTTCTGGATAATCCTTGCGGCGTCCATGATGGTAGTGAAAGCGATTAAGGTGCTCAGCTGCTGACCCAGAGGTCATGAATTTCATCCAAGCTGAGGCGGTCGCATTTTGATGGAGGGGAAGTGATAGAAACCCTGTGTGGGGCGATGTAAGTGAACTTGAAAGAAGTTCCGGCAGGCTTAAATTCCGAAGTCGCTCGCATAGCTGTCTGACAATCATTATCGTGCTTTGGGGTTTTGCAATGTCAAATGGCCGTCATAGGTAATATTATTGTGTGGACGTGCATTTGCAGCGTTCCAGAAAGATTATATACATGACTTCGCAAAACTATATGCAGTTTTGGTGAGCTAATTATTGGTGTTGGGTGCTCCCCTGGAGATAAATTTTTGATTGAATCCAATTGAAACTTTTAGTCTGAAGTTTCTGTATTGAACATAAAAATAAGCAGTTTTCTTTAAGCTGCACATTAGCACTTTGATAGCATCTGCAGTAGTTCACTTAACAGTAATGTTCTAGGGTTAGTTTACTCTCAGCATTCGTCTTGAATATGGATGCTTTAACCTATGAAGTGATGTCTTTATAAATTTTAAAACAATGGAAGACTGAACAGACATGGTGTACTTTCTTCCAAATTTTTTTCTGCGCATTTTGGCACGTTTTAAACATTAAAGTAGATACATTGAAACTAATAGCATGATTTAAGACATAGTAACATTATCACTCGCACACAGGTACCTTGTGACAATTTTTATACATTAGAAACTAATATTTAAATGCAAAATGGTCCTCCTTAAACATCATTACGCTCACTAATATCTGTTCTCTTTGATTAGCGCCATGCCCTGGACAGTCTTGTGTCATATGCTACGTGCCCCGCTGTGATCATGTTTCTCGTTCTCCAACGACTTTTATGATTTCGATTTTAAATGTGATGGAATACTAAAAGTTCTCACTTACATCCATGCCGTCCCTCCTATAGCATTTGCTGGGTCGTTCATACTCTCATGATGCACGATAACAGCGCTCTTCAGTGTACTGCAAAATGTTTTGTATGTGCCATAGTCTGCAAAGGAAAGTGTCATTGTAAGTTACCATCCAATAATAACATTATGCTCTCGCCTATACGTCTCGCGATATCTTATACTGCATGCTGCATTTCAGTTTGCATGCTTTCCATACTAATCTTTCATTTAGGATGTCATGCCATGAGTAATGTCATGCCATGAGGCCATGAGTAATTACAGCCAAGGTGCAATGTATGAGTACTATACTGCAGTCGTGATTTCTGGTTACGGAGAAACGCTTGCGATTTTGTGAATTGCACTTACTGTGGCTATTTTTTGTGGGAAAATGGTGCATCATTTTTAGTCATGCATGCTGCTGCCATGATGAAGACACAACGTTAGGTATGTATTGGTTTAGGAATAAATGAATGTTTCTAGTGTGCTTAATTGAACAAATGTGGGATGGATATTTATTTAAATAATTAGCGCATAGTCTTGGCAGTATCTATTGCCATATTTAATTGAGAATGGCATTTTCATACCTCATATAGGTGTCTTTTTTGAGAAAATATTGGCACCAGTTTTACAACGCTACGATACCGAAACGTATAAAGCATGTAATGTCAATGAAGAGCCTGAAATATAGAAGTAGTTGAGTTTGACTGTCTTCAATATAGAGACTATATGGGACCTCACTACAAATTCTTTAAAGCAGTCATTACTGCGTAACTTTGGAAAATACCTATTAGCAAGCAAAGCTAAGGGACGAAGAAAACAGTGAGGCGCCCAAGTGTGGGGCTTGCGACGTGCGGCCGACTGCTTACGTGGAGACTCCTGGTATAGATCGTGTCTGTAAAAGTGAGGCCGTGCCCCGGTATTGACCTGTAACGTTGCCCATAGTTTTTAGTGGTCGAGGGGGTGTAGGACTCTGATGCCACGTGTAACTTTTTTACTTTTATAGGCTTTGCTTCCTAATTATATAAATGACGTTTCAATTGAGCCCCGAATTTCTAAGGTCATCGCATGAAACACTGCTTCAGCGGGACCTCAATCGCTGGTTCCTGTGACCGCGTTTCAAATTGGTCACGCGATGTTCTGAGGCATTCAATACAATATGAATAGATGCAACTTAACTCAACGATAAAATAGTAAAACGTGCCGAGCAATGTTTCCCTTGTGCTAAGCGTGTGCTGGCCTTGGAAACGTGAAGGCTGCTCGCCCACTATGGTGAGAGAACAGGCCTACATTTGCGATGCAGTTCACTTATTCTCTCTCCTTTCTCTCGTCCTTCACTACAATCGGCAACAACTTTTGTTGCTACGCTGCCACCCTGACGATCGTGTAGCCAGGATTAAATTACCAAGCCGGCTGCCTGACCTGGGTTTCCCCAGAAGGGACAGGCTCCTTCTACTGCGTTTGCACATCGGTTCCTTCTGGCCTGCAGTTCGTAGTCAGCGGCTTGCGAAAGCCTCGTCCCCTGCGTAGACTGCGCGTGGGGCAGCCGGAACTATGGAGCACCTGTTGTGGGTTTGCCCAGCGCTTCGCGTACAAAGAGCGGTCTTGCTCACCACACTCCGTCACGATGGTCTGCCCACGGCTACATAGAGGGACCTCCTCTGCAATACATGGGAAGACACCCTGGTCTTCAATGCGGTTTTTCACTCGCTTGGGGACATTGCACTGGACAAACAACTATAGAAGCCACCCGCCTGGCTCCCAGTCATAGACACCATATCTTTCATTCTTCTCTCTCCTCCATATCTTTGATACTCACAAACCTCCCCACAAGCGCTGAGCCATCCTTCCAACTAGGGCTGCAGAAGTTGTCTTTGCTTTCATTAACCTATTTTCACTATCTCTCTTGGCATTTAAGCGAAAGCCACAGAGAAAATTCACGTGCACTCTACCACCAGTAAATGTAGTTTCAGAATAGCACCTGTGTTCTCCACGTAAAATAGGAATTTTCCATCTTTATTCTTTATGTAGACCTATTTGAGACAGGACACTGCTCACACCACCAGAGCGAGAAAATTCCACCTTTTTACGTATACCTCGAACGCTAAGTGGCGTCTGCGTCTACTTGAAACGCTGATGGTGCACCGCCGTCACCTTACACAGCGTTACGAGACCCGTGTCAAATTGAACTACTTCCTGTAGTGCTACATGCGCGGATGCTTTGCCGCCGTAGCTTTTCCTTCAGTGCCATTATCAGTGATCACCGAGTATGCACATCTCTCCTTGTAACCTTGACTTCATTTTTGCACTAATTACTACATTCATTTCGCCATAGCAATAAAATATTAGACTAACTATGCTATTCTTTATCCTCTTTCTTCCGCATTCCCATTCTATTCATCCACACATCCACTACTGCTAACTCTCGCTTCCTTATTCAACACGCTTAGCTGTGTTGAAAGCGGTTCTGTTATAAATAAATGACTGTAGGTTGTTTGCATCACAAGCAGGTGGCCGACCACAGAGCATCGCTATGGCTTGATATTGGTTCCAGACAAGACAAATATTTATTGGAATGACACGTAGAAAAGAGAGTCTCCTTATTGCATGCAATATAGGGTGGCAGTAGCATATGATCGCCCTAGGTGTCGAAACGTGTAAATTGAACAATGGGTAGGTGTTTAAACACCGAACCACCAGAGAGCGCTCAGGCATGTTAATCAACACCAGCTGCAAGAGCATTAACACTGTGAGGAATTGTGCACTTTCACGTGTCGCCTCGCGCAACCAAAGTGGGTCCTTTGCTGATTCTCAAAAAGAATTAGTAGGACCTTAAGTGAATTTACAAGACACTCCAGTACAGATGGAAACGACCAATGCTGGATACACAGTCGTTCGTTCTTTTACGGCACGGTTGAGGCATACAGATGAAACACAAGAAAAGCTAGCGCTTGAAAAGGGGATTTGAACGGGCCAAGTTATCTCTGTCAAATCCCACTCTTGAATGCCAAGCTCAAACGTTCACCGAGTAATTGAGAGCGTAGATCCTTACGTGAACACTTTGCCATAGCCGTCGTGCGAAATTCGCAGTGCCGAGTAAGCACGCCGAGCAAAATATCAGGCGCGCGCACTCGAAGAGCGCAGCCGCGGCGGCAGATGGCACGCGCTGACACTGACGACAAAGGGCAGAGAGGAAAACCAGGCAATGGTAGAGTGCATATCAAAGTACATGTAGAAGTTAGGAGGAGAGTGCGAGATAATTATACTAGAAGATATGAATGCGCACATAGAAGATATAGATGGGTATACCGACCCGACAGGCAAAATGATCATGGATGTGTGTGAAAGGCATGATTTGATCATTTGCAACAGTACCGAGAAGTGTGAAGGGCAAATAACATGAGAGGTAGGAAGGCTGCAGTCTAGGCTGCAGACGATAGATTACGCACTGATGTCACATAGGATGTATGATAAGCTCAGGGGAATGCACATAGATGAAGGTGGCTCCAGAAGTCTGGGTAGTGATCACAAACGTATCAACCTAAGTTTTGGAAGAGCAGTGAAAGTGGGAAGGAGACGAAATGAGCAACTACAAGAAAATTTTTATTCAGAAATGCACATTGAAATAGCCAATAAACAAATTGAGAAAGTAATCACTGAGGATAATAAAAGTGTTTGACATACACGAATCTAGTTAGACTGTTTGAGCTAGAGCCTGCTAAGCCACGTGACAAGTCACCCCAAAAAGAAGACACAAACCCAAAAGTTGGTGGGATGAGGAAGTTAAGAGAGCCATAGCGAAACGTCGGGAAGCCTCTAGAAAACACAGACATGCTAAGCAGCAGGGTGAACCGACAGATGATGTGGAAAGAAAATTGGACATCTTTCTAAGCTTTAGAAGGGATGCATCCCTTCTCATCAATGGAAAGATTAGAAGAAAGGGAGCTCAGTGGCTGGCAGAAGTACATAAAAAGATAGAAAGGCAGCTGAGAAGTTTTGGAACCATCTAAACTACCTAGGAAATGATACGAGCCAAGAGCAGAGGTTTATAACCACAGCTCAAGGTGCTAGGCTAGAAGGGGAAGAAGCTATTGATTATATAAGAACAAGGGTGACAGAAAAATTTCAACAAAGAAGTGCTTTATGGACCACAATAGACAAGGATGAATCAAGTGGCGCAATGGCTCAATTTTCACAATGAGAGTGGGAAAGGGCTGAGAAGAGGGTTCCTTGTAGTACATCAACAGGCTCAGATGGCATCCCAATTATGCTGATAAAGACATTAGGTCAGAAGTCTAAGTAGGCTTTGAGAGAGGCAGTGAGCAAAATAATAATCGATGGTGAATTCCCCGATGGATGGAAACATAGCAGGATGAGCATGATCTATAAAGAAAAGGGGGACAAAGCTGACATAAACGCCTGCCGTCCTATAACAGTGACATCAGTGGTCTACAGGCTGGCGATGCAGATTATAAAGGAAAGACTGCAGGCATGGATAGAGGATGAGGGGGGGCTGGGGGAACTGCCGAACGGGTTTCGGAAACACACGAGGTTGGAAGACAAGCTCTTCTCACTGACGCAGTGCATCGAAATAGCATAAAAGGAACACAGGCCTCTGTGGCTAGCATTTTTGGATATCAAGGGAGCGTACGATAGCGTGGTTCAAGAGGAATTGTGGGGTATACTGGACACACTAAGCGTGAAAGATGGAGTCACTAATCTTTCAAAGGATATCTATAAAGTTAATAAGGTAGTTATAAAGTGGAAAAAACAGGTATCCAAGCCCACAGAGGTAAAACGGGGGCTGAGGCAGGGGTGTCCTACGTCACCATTATTATTTATGATGTATATTCAAAGATTAGAGGTCAAATTAGAGGGAAGTCGACTGGGCTTCAGCCTTTTTTTCATCAAACAAGGAAAACTCATTGAACAGGCACTACCAGCATTTATGTACGCAGATGGTATAGTGCTAATGGCCGACAACAAAGAAGGTTTGCAGAGATCGATGGATATCTGCGGTAATGAGGGAGATAGGTTAGATTTCTGATTCAATAAAGAAAAATCATCAGTCATGATTTTTAATGACAATGAAGGTAGTGAGCTTAGAATACAGGAGGTCACGCTAGAGATAACAGATAAATACAAATATCTGGGCGTATGGGTAAGCAATGGCGCCGAACACCTAAGGGAACACGAAATATACGTGACGACTAAAGGAGGAATGCAGCGGTAATGAAAAACAGGGCACTTAGGAATTATAATAGGTATGATGTTGTGGGGGAATATGGAAAGCGGTCATGGTTCCAGGTCTGACGTTCAGCAATGCAGTCTTGTGCATGAGATCAGAAGTTCAAGCAAAATTAGAAATTAAGCACCGTGGAATAGGTAGACTTGCCTTAGGAGCTGACGGGAATACACCAAATCGGGGAGTACAAGGTGATATGGGATGAACATCATTTGAGGGCAGGGAAGCTAGCAGCAAGATAAAATTTGGAAGCCTTTGAGAGGAATGGGTGAGAGCCTTGGGCCAGGAAGGCATTCTGGTACAGATCCCTGGCACTTGTACATGAAGAATGTCAATACAAAATGGAAAAAGTGAACCAGAAAATTGATTGGTAAATACTTGGAAAACAGCAGGGGCCAAACCAAAAAGAATTATAGGTTAAGAAGGTGAAGGAAGCTGAGACTGATATGTGGAGAATTGGCATGATTAAGAAGTCCGCACTAGAGATCTATCGAACTTTTAAAAAAGCAGGAAATTGCCAAGGAAAGGATCTATTATAATACTTGGGGTACTTCTCTACATTTTGAGGCCAGGACAAGAGTATTGCGAACCAAGACATATCGGGCCAAATACGAAAGGGTAGACACGGTATGCAGTGCGTGTGGAGAGGAAGAGGAAAGTGCCGAACACTTTGTAATGTTCTGTAAAGGGCTTCACCCTATACTTCAGTATGATGGCGCAGAGTTTTGCAAAGCACTGGGGTTTCGGGACAGGGAGGGCAAAATAGACTTCAAGCGGGTAGAATGAACTAGGAGGAGGTGAGCTGATTGGTGGCTAAAGTCAAGGCACGAGTGAAAATTAAACCCTTCAATGCAAAGTGCGAATCCTCGTCCTTACTATTTAAAGGGAAAAAAATCTAGTTTTTGGTTCATTAAGTATTATGGCTTGGTGGCACTAGCCACCACCCGATCTAAAGGGTACAGCCATATCCATCCATCCACATCCATCCGACTCTTGTCGATCCCGTCACCGAGTGCAGCAGACGCTCTCCCCACCCAACACCTTCATGATCGAGGAAAACCCGCCCTCGTCTCATTTCTAAAGAGCGGCGCTGATCGGTTGTATTTGAACAAAGAACAGCTGCTAGTTTTTTTTTTTATGTGATTGCGTGTTATACTCGGGGCAGTGTCCATTCTGTGGCGTCCGCGACGATACCACGCATGGGTAACTGTCCCTCGTTCTATTCTGCCTCGCAGCTGTGCGCTCTCCTCCTCACCTCTGCATATCTACGCCAAAGGTGCAGCGCAGGCAAATGATTGTACGCCACTCTCTGCGGCCAGAGCAAGATAACGTTCCAGGCCATTGCAACGCCTGGCCTTCCACGGTGCTCACGCTTCCTCTCTCCTTAATACATTTTCGCTCTAACATTCGTTAGGGTGTGTCCTAGGTTGTATTGACAAGTGAAATGAAACTCGATGCGCACCCACGGCAATCTTTTCGCGTCTCACTATGTTGGTCCTTACGAGAAGATGATGCATAATTTTGTAAGGTCTGCTAATGATCGCCGTTTATACTGTACACTGTAACTTATATAGAAGATAATGAGGAAGAATTTTGATCAGGACCCCTTTTGTTAAGAGCAGCCATCACCCGTAAAAAACGCAGCAAATTATTACATCATCAATTTAGTAGTTTTGATTTACTTACAAGTGTAATGGTCGTTAGGCTCCTCTCCAGTTGCTTTTACGAACAGTGGCTTCCTAAAATCAGAATAAATCATGCTCTTAGGCCAAGTTCATTCATTCTAACATTTATTGCTGGGTAAAACACCAAAATAGTCAGTATTTTACACAAGCATGAACATTGTTTATATATTTACTATTTATGAAAGATAAATACATTTTATTCGAACATGTACAAATCACAACAAAAAGTGAAAAACGCAAAGCACAACTCATTCCTTTTGCGCGTTTCGGTGTGTCCAGCCTCCCTCCGTCCCGAAAAGAGGGAGACGCAGTGTTGTCGGGGTAATACATCGTCGCGAAATGCAGCATTTCGCATTTCGTGCCGGTTGCCGTCGGGCCACGCCGACAGACGCTGGTTGCGCCTGGCCTCAGGCTATAGAGTGCTCGCGTTTTGTGAACGCAAGGTCACTGTGCCCAGCGTGCGCCCGCGTCAACGCTACATTGGAGTACATCGGGCCCTATATGATGCGCTCCCGGCCGTTTCGCTAGCTCCACATATACCAAGTTTGGTGTTACGTGATGTCAATGGATGACGAACTATGACTGGCACAAACATGATAATTCTGACACGCGTCTGATGTAAGAGCATGTCTACATACAACGCTCATAGCGTGCTCGCGGCCATTTCGCTAGCTTCACATATACTAAATTTGGTATTACCTGACGTAAACAAATGAGGAAAGTGCTGTGTTGGTGGCTGGCTGGTCCCGACGAAGCAGAAGAAGACGGCCGACGGAGACGTACGCGGCCGGCGGGGACGCCGACCAGCCCGAACACGCGGGTTCGCGCGAAGCGCCGAAAAGAAGACAACAACCGCACTCCACGGTTACCCAACACACACTGATTTTATTTACAGTCGCCTTGGAATCCTGGATGCCAGAGCGGCGCCCCCTGGCATTCTCACACGTCATTCCGAAACCGAAAACCTAGAACACAACATCATCCCCTTCTCGAAAGAAGTTCACCTATACACTGTTTATATTTATAAGGTACTCGCTATAAGGTACTCGCGTATAAGGTACTCGCGCATAAGGCTAAGGTACTCGGCTGCTGACCCGCAGGTTGCGGGTTTGAATCCCGGCTGCGGCGGCTACATTTCCGATGGAGGCGGAAATGTCGTAGGCCCGTGTGCTCAGATTTGGGTGCACGTTAAAGAACCCCAGGTGGTCTAAATTTCCGGAGCCCTCCACTACGGCGTCTCTCATAATCATATAGTGGTTTTGGGACGTTAAACCCCACATATCAATCAAATGTCTATATTTATACATGATCGATACCAACATAATTTACAAGGTATGTACATTAGAACACATGAAAATTCAGAGCACGGCACACCGAACTCACACACTACGAGTCCTGAAAATGCACTTACAAACAAAAAAATGTACACAACTGTTCTGAACAAGAGTTCTACATCACGTAGTCTTCGAACCGACGCGGCTTCTGCCGCTTCCGCTTAGGGCGGGCCCTTTTGGGTGTAGAATTGGGCGTCCCTGCACCTTGGTCACTTGTGCTCTGATGTGACACATCGAGAGCAGTGGAAGATTGTGAAGGCTCTGAACGAGCATAAAAATTCGCGGTCTCATCAGAGCTCGCAGCATGAGCTTCGGAAGAATTTTGCGGACCGGAGTCCGGTTCAACGGTCTCAGCCGTATTTGCAAATTCGAAGTGCACCGTAAGACTTGGTGTACTTGAACCAGTGACACCGACTGGTAACTCCTCCCTCCTTGAAGAAATGCCTGTACATGTAGGCCACATGCAATAATCTGATGGATAGTTGAAAGGCGTGGACGGAACGTGATGGGGAAGACTTTTAGGTGTTGAAGGCGAATTCGTATGAAAAATAACAAGGCACGAAGCATTCCAGATGTTACCATCACTTAAGCGAAACGAAGTGGGGCTAACCTGGCCCAAGACTTTGTAAGGACCTCGATACTTGGGGCGCTTGCCTGGCACACGAACCTTGACTAGATCGCCAGTGCGAACTTTGGACTGCTTTGCACCTCGACGGGTTCGACATATTTTTTCATTGCTTCTTGACGAGAAAAAACCCTGGTACGGATTTGATCAGGAGAAAACACTGCTATGTTACGAGGCAAAGAGACTGTGTGGAGAGCAACTCCCGGTTGCCTACCGTAGAGAAGTTGAGCAGGAGACACTCTGGTGGTGCCTTGTGGTGTGAACCTGTACGAAACTAAACATTCAGTCAAGACTTGCTTGAGGGGATGGTGCTCTAATTGGGCGATCTGGATATGTTCCTTCAGAACGCGATTAAAGCGCTCGATTTGCCCATTTCATTGGGGATAGAAAACTGATGACCCCAAGTGCTGAATTCCTCGTTGTGAAAGAGAAGCCTCGAAATGTTGGGACTGAAACTGTGGACCATTGTGCGTAACTATGGCATCAGTAAAACCTTCCCGGCTGAAGATTGAAGACAGAAACTCAATGATGACCTCAGAAACTCAATGAAGTAACCGTATGTGTGAAACAAAGCTCTGGCCATTTGGAATGGTAGTCGATGAGAGAAACAATGAACCGGGCATTTTGCGGAACATTATGCAAAAGACCGACGATGTCCATGCCGAGTTTCTGCCAAGACCGATCAAGCCTTGTGGGCTGGCTGCAACGGAGAAAATGCAGGTTTAGCAGACTTGTCAGCTGCCTGACATATATGGCAGTTGTAAACTGCATGCTCGACCTGCTTGTCTAAGGCTGGCCACCAGTACCTGTCTCGGAGATTCTGTTTGGTGCGGACAATGCCTGGATGGGTTTCATGGGCAAGCTGTATTAGCTTGTTACGGAAAGAAGCAGGGGGAATCACGCGTTCATCGCGGAAAAGCAAGTCCTCGACACAAGACAGTTCCTGTCGGACTGCGAAGTAAGGCAAGAATTCAGAAGCAAGAGCACATTTGGAAAGCCATCCTTCACGTAAATTTTTGAGAACTTGAGACAATGTGGAATCTGCAGCTGTAGCTGCCTGAAGCTCAGCTTTAGTAATGCAGGAAGTAACTAAAGAAACAACTTCCTCATCCCGCTATTCAGTAACCGGTATCTGAAGAGGAAGGCGCGACAGTGCATCAGCAACCACGTTATTAGAACCCTTACAATATTGAACACTGAAATTATAATACGTGAGTTTGGCACACCAACGGGAAATGCGAATGGGGCGGCGGCCTTCGAATCCTGCAGAAAGAAGAGCAACTAGTGCTTGGTGATCTGTACGTAATATGAAGGGCCGGCCCCACAAGTAAACATGCCACTTTTCACAGGCAAAAAGACACGTGAGAGTTTCACGCTCTCCTACTGAATATCTGCGTTCAGCCGGGGTCAATGTACGAGATGCAAAAGCGATATTGATGAGCTGATGGCCTCTGAGTAGTTGAAACACTGCTCCCAGTCCAACATCGGACGCATTCGTCGTGATGACAATGGGAAGCTTCTCATTGAAAATACTAACAGCTGGCTTTGAGGCCAGTATTGACTTAACTCGAGTGAAGCTCTGCTCAGCTTCAGCTGACCAGTTAAAAGGCTGTGCTTGACGAAGTAGAGTACGCAGTGGTTCAACAACATCAGCATAGTGAGGAACAAACTTGGCATAATAACCAACAAGACCTAAAAAAGATTGCAAGGTTTTGGAATCAGTAGGCCGTGGGGCATTGACAATGGCCTGAACTTTAGATTCAACAGGTGTCAAGCCGCGGGAACTGACATTATGTCCTAGAAATTGTAACTCATTCACAGAAAAAATTCACTTGTTATTAAGTTTCATACCACATTCACTGATGCGGCTGAGAACAGTATGCAAGTTAGCATCGTGCTCTTCGCGAGTACGTCCCCACACCAAAATGTCATCCAAGTAACAAAGGGCGCCATTACAACCCTTAAGAATAATTGACATCATTTTCTGAAACACTGCAGGGGCAGATGCAAGCCCGAAACACACGCGCCGAAACCGAGACACGCCTTCGTGCGATACAAATGTGGTTAAGCCTCTACTGCACTCAGAAAGTTCAACTTGGTGATAAGCAGACGCTAGGTCCAGCTTGAAGAAACATACCGCTCCGGAGAGCTGATGAAGCAGTTCTTGAGTGTGAGGAAGTGGAAAACCATCTACGACGATCGCCTTGTTCGGTTCTCGTAAGTCGACGCATAGTCGAAGGGATCCATCTTTTTTCTTGACGACGACCAGTGGAGAAACCCAGTCGGAAGCAGAGACAGGCTCGATGATTCCGCTGGCTTGAAGGCGAGACAGTTGCGCAGAGACTTGCTCACGGAGAAGAAGAGGAATGCGGCGCAGCTTGGCACGCACAGGGCACACACCTGGTCGACGCATCACTTTATGCACAAAACCGCGCACACAACCCAGTTCCCGGGTGAACAGGTGGTGGAATTCAGAAGGCTTGTTGGCCGGAAGATCATCTTGGACGTCGACTTGAGCACACGTCATAGACGCACCAACGATGTTATTGGACAAAGCCCTGATGGCGTCACGTCCCAAAAGCGAGCTGCCATTGGCAGTTACTTAAAAAGTAATGGAAGCAGTGCGACTGCGATAGGAGACCTGAGCTGTAAATTGACCTAAATTATCAATCGTTTCCTTGGAATATGTTTGTAGAACGACGTGGGAAGGCAAAACCCGAATGTTGGAAAAATGACTATGGAAGTCAGCGGCACTGATTAAAGAGACTGAGGCACCAGTGTCCACGAGAAATGACAAGGGCACATGGCCCACTGAAGCTACGATGCTGGGCTCGGACGTAGTGTGGAGGCCATCCACATTTAGAACAGTGACCGTATTAGTCTGTGCAGTGCTCGAAGGAGCGGACGAAGAAACTGGTTCGGGAAGATTTGCTGGACGGGAATTGCATACGGACTGAAAATGTCCGATTTTTCCGCACGCAAGACAAGTGCGGTTTCTCGCAGGACACTGCGCAAAATTGGCTAAATGCCGAGCCGATCCGCAACGAAAGCAATGCGCAGTTGCGCTTGCAGAAGAAATTGGCGAACGCGAGTTAGGAGCTCGGTGCTGTTCGTGAAACCTAGAATTTGGCGGAATGGGGTCGCCATATTGTCGGCTTCCTCACCCCCGTGACGCAGAGGGGCCGCCATGTTGGCCGCCACAGAAGGACTGTGCAGGCGGGCGTCCATGTTGGCCGCCGTGCCGAGACGAAGATTAAGGGCCGCCATGTTGACGCGTCTCGTGAAACAAAGAGCCGCCGCCTTGGCGCCCCGCAGCAGAAAGTTGCTGCACTGAATGCGGAGCGAATTGCTCCCATCGCCGTCGCCATTGCTTTGTTCGAGGCTGGCTGGTCCCGACGAACCAGAAGAAGAAGACAGCCAACGGAGACGTACGCGGCCGGCGGGGACGCCGACCAGCCCGAACACGCGGGTTCGCGCGAAGCGCCGAAGAGAAGACAACCGCACTCCACGGTTACCCAACACACACTGATTTTATATACAGTCGCCTTGAAATCCTGGATGCCAGAGCAGCGCCCCCTGGCATTCTCACATGTCATTCCGAAACCGAAAACCTAGAACACAACAGAAAGTAGACAACACATCCAAAAATGATAATCGTGACATGGAAGTCATGTACGCCAACATTTACCTCCAACTTGTAACAGTGTGCTGATTTTAAAGTGACATATCAACATTTCTCATTACTTCGTCGCATATCATCGATGCCCACTGTACCTGGGATCTTCCATTTTTTTTAGATGCGAAGAATTGAATGGGCGAGCTCAATACATTGCATGGTGATATGCAACACCTTGCATATGACTAGCACCTGATACATCGCAATAGGCTTATATCTCTATCCAAAATTTTATTACTGCCATGTCGGCGCCCACATCCCCAACTCGATAAATCTGCCGTACCCGCTTTCCAATAATGGCTCAGGGCAACTAAACTCTTGGGGAGATGTCCAAACCATTCGTCGTATTAGGCCTCTTAACAGACGATGCGATGCGCAGTCTTCAGCTAGAGTCACTGGAAAAACAAGACTGGCAGACTCTTCGCATGCAAATGTTTTTTGTGTGTGTGTGCCTGTGTTAGCTGATCACGCAACCACCTTAGACACATTTTCGTTAGAAACACAAGGAGTGTATCGTGCACCGCATACAGACACATAAAGAACTGGCCAGTTGTTCCCAAGGAAACAGATTAGAACAATCGACATAACAAACGTCACGACTAACAAGTGCAGCAGCGTCGGCAGTGGAAATATCAAACCATAAAGAAAAAGGACTGCAACAACATCACAATGCATGCGCTTTCAGCCCAGGCTTCAATGAGCCGCGCGAATCCACTTTTCGCCAACGTTCGCCTAGGAAGCGCCACCCATACAGCACAGAGCGTTACTGCGTGGGATGGATAGGGCTAGAAAGCCTGAACGAGTCCCCCACTTGCGACGTTACAGCGCTGTCTAACATATATGAGTACCATTATTATTTGTGAAAACCATGGCGGCCAGAACACTTTTTGCGCGCACGCAATTGCTTATGGTATTCACAGTAAAAAAAAAATGCGATTACGCTGAGAAAGCCGCCGCTAGCAGTGCGAATGAAATCCTAATACTTTTTTGGTATAGTCGAACTTGGTTTGAGCATATATTAGCTGTTGATGCCAGCACGAGAATGGTAGCCAAAAAGTAGCCAAGTAGTCATCGTCATTTTCTCGTCGCCACGGCCTTTTAAAGGTAGCCAATGTGGCGTAAAGTAGCTAAATCTGGCAACTGTGGTGGCCTGCCAGAAGTGAGCGAAACGCATCTCTAAAGCAGTATTTGAACGTTGCTGCTTTCAACTGCAAATATGTTACACTACACTTTCTGCTTCAACCACTACAGAAATTCAAGAGGGTTCAAATATCTAGTGAATAGCCTCACTCGTACAACCACACAGAGGACAATACGTGAAATTGTACATGAATTCCTTTCATTCATGAGGAACCAGTGCGAAAAAATTTAACTAGACCACCATTTTGATTGAGTACAAAGAAAAAAAACGGCAAAATAAATGCATCGTTCTTGACTTTCAAATGAACTATTAGAGATAACTTGCTGCTTTTTAGGAGTGAAGCTCCTCAGGCGTCACCTGATCTTCCTGCGTAGTAACCACTTGTATCGGGTATGTGCCACAGCGGAGTTTAGTCCTTGAAATGTCAGCACAGGGTGGTACTTGTATTTATTCAATATATAAGATGCGAGATGGTGGTACTTGGAGTGTTTACTAAATGGACGGACATACAGACATACAGACGGATGGTTGAATGATCGACCCATGGTTGGACGGGCGGACGTATGCATGAACGGACGGACGGATGCTTCGCCCCACTCATCATCATTCAGTTCGTAGATATGCTAGAATTTTTTGGTGCTCTATCACTTGCACATAGCTTTTCAACATCAGTGACTAGCTAGAATTTGTGGAACCATTGTGCTTACCGTGTAAATAAATAGTTAATAGTGTTATTTCCGTCTTGCTCAGTGGCAACATAGCTCTTTAACTTCTCAAGAGTAACGTTCGCCTCCAGTGACCCTGGCTTATTTTCAACACCAAGGCTATCAATCTGAAACCATGATGGAGAGCATTAGACAACATTTCTGTACCACATTAACTACGCCTTCCTCTCAAAACAAATGTACGCAGATGTGCACAAAAGATAACTATAAGAAGATCCATAAATTGTTCATTACTTGCATTTTTTTACTTGTGTGTGGTTGTTAGTAGTAACATCATCACAATCGGGTTCAAGTTAAAGAACCACAGCTGGTCGAAATTCGCGGAGCCCTCAATTACAACGTCTGTCTCTCATAATCATGGGGCTGTTTTCGGATGTTAAACCCCTTCCAACAATGAATAAATAAATCGTTCGCAACATCACTTCAACATAGAGTGGAATTTAGGGATGCTCAACTAAGCTTATCTAATGAACGTGACCTTTAGCTCATGTTCCACGCTGACCGTACTCGCTGAGGGTTTCGGGCTCACAAAAATTGTGAGCACTTGTTTGTGGTCATTTGCTTATGTTTCACTCTTCTGTGAACTCTCGCAATCTTTTCGTCGTAGGTCAACAACGTTAAGTCTCGATAGAGATTACCGTCTATTGAGTGTCCTTTAGGCATAAAAACGCTGTTCAGAGGACTGAAACCGGCATACTGGTGCAAGCATGCGCGACAATATCAAACGAAAAAACTACAATCATTTCTGATGTACACACGAGGTGACCTTAATAATGCAGCCGGCATATAAGGCAATAATATGGTTTCGAGCACTGCAACGAAACTCTCAATGTTTTGCCCAACCGTGCCGATAAAGTGGAAACGGCAAGGTAGGCACCGGGAACTGGGATGTACAATTTAACACTAGGATAGATTGCTCATTTGCCAAAAAGATTTTGTATTCCTTTTACATTGAGTGCTACCATCAAAGGCTAAATCAGGGGGCGTGCAAACACGAGTCTTCGTGAACGCGAAGAGAAATACCACGAATGATGTGTAGTCGATTTTAGAAAGCAATACCCGAAAATGTGGTTGATGGGCATCCTTCGACGCAACGAGATTGTATTCACCCAAAATGAGACATTACGTAAGTTGGTTTAAGGATTTAAGCCAGTCGTAAGCATGGAACCATTCGTCCTTGCAATATATTGTCGCTTCTAGTTTGTATAGAACAGCTGTACTATGTAGCTATGATGAATTACTATCACTAAATGGTCGTCACCCAAAATTTCTATTACTGCTCTAGCTGAACGTTTCCTCTAGCTCCGCTCCGACAAAGTATAGCGTTGTATTTTTCTCATTGTTTCAGAAACCATATCTTGTTTGAAGCAGACATTTCTTAATGAGGGACAATCCAGAGCGTTTTTCATTTTAGACCTACCTGGTGAACACTTACTACTTCGATTTTGATCATTATTGACAGAGTGTGAAAAAAGGCCTCAACCTGAAAAGAAAATGTAATATATATATATATAATACAAACGTCTACACATGAAATGATAGTTCTGACTGCAGCACATCATAAATAAAAATTAAGGCAGCAGCACCAGCGCAATTTAATATGCAGCAGATTAACTGTATCGATTCAATTCACAGAATTGACTTTTTCGATTTACGTGTAAAACGAAGCTTATAACCATATATTACTTTGCCACAGGAAGGTTGTGGCACACTCAACTGGCCAGCGTGTTTGCGAAGGTCTACAATGTTTTCTTCGGTTCTTAGAAAATGTGGTCATAAGGATAAACAGTAAAATTACCAATATTTCACCTTTCATTTCACCTTTCAGTTTTAAAAATTGCAGCTTAAGTTGAGAATGCTGCATAGAACGGGAGTATTAAATTGTTTTATTGCACTTGCAAATATATCGACACTTTTTTAGTGTTTTTTTTGCCACTGTCACGTTTTGCATCCAGTCCAAATCAATAACATATTCCCAGGCATCGTATGTTTTACCTGGGGTAAACGCAAATGAGCGGGCGAAGATTGCTGCTGAAGCATAGATGAAAAATTACTGCCATAGCAATCCGTACCACTGGTTAGCCAGCGAAAGCTGAGGTGTTCGGCCATGGTGTTTAGCAATGAGTTCAACTGGACGCTGCACTGAATCTTTTCACAAATATTGGTTTCTTGTCCGTAACGAATATTTGGTGCTAAAGGAGTTTGAGGAGGCCGAAATGTCCGGTGCCCTTTAATACGTCTTTCGCAGCTATTATACTGCTTTAGGATAAGAAGACCCAACAGTTAATACTACTGGATTCTCTGATAATTGCGTGAAGCCTGAATGGCCAACTCAAAATACTAAGTATGATGCAGATTCCCAGAGGACTCGCTCCATTTCTTTCTGGTGTTCTCCACTTTGAAAATTCACCAAAGCTCTACAAAAACTGCATGGAACCAGTGCATTTTAGAAGCTTTCAAGCAGAAAAGTCCAAATATTTTAATGAACCTATTTGAAACTTTATGGAACCAGTACATTTCGGAAGCTTTCAAGCAGAAAATGTTGACGTTTTAATGACCCATTTTGAAACTAATTTTGTAGGGTCGTCAATAACACTCTACGTTTGATATACTTGCATCGGCCTTTGCCGCTTCATATAACAGTTTGGCACACAGTTCATTTTAACATACTATCCACGTCTCGTTATGAGGTTTTAAAGGTGTTTGTGTTTATCACGCACACCTGGCGCAAAAAAGCTTGAGCGTCATAACAGCCTTGATATATTGCTCATTTTTTTTTCAATGTGTCATGCTCGACAGAACACCCGTGAAGATGGCACCACGGCGTCCCACTTGGCCTTCGCGACGGTTAACAGCAATACATTAGTCATCACAGTTCATATTTCATTGATGGAAAAGCGAACATAATATATTGTTGTGTATTTTGTTATATTCATATAGGTATACATGGTACCTTGTTTTTGTGCCCAAAAATTGTAAGGAGAAACAAAGCTTTTCTTTTTCTTACCTCTCTGAAAAGTTTCTTGAAATCCTCAAGAGTTGGTTCATTTTCATCTTCAGTGACTTCGTTTTGCGATGACGCTGTTGACTTTAGCGTAGAATCATAAAACACTTTTGCGGTTACACTTACACCTTGACCAACTTCGGGCAGGGACCACTCATAATCTGAATCTACAAAGGATATCACATCAGGAAACATTTATAAACAGTGTTACTGGCCTGCGTGTTGTTACCGTAAATGCTATGTTTTCAGAATGTGTGTTCATGTTGAAAAGCTTAACCTACAATTTTTAGTGAGTGCAGACCAAAGAGTCTGGAGAACACTGTAGACTGAACAATGTGCCCTTGATAAAGCGTACGTATACTGCCTATTAAAATCTCATTTGTAGGGGGTATCTGAAATTTCTGTTTGAACAATTGCCATATTTCGTCTTTGAATTGATTATTTTCGAGTGTTCTTTTCTGCATTGCGTAAGAAAATGAAGTGGGCTCTAACATGGTAGCGAAAATTGAGGCAAACAATATATTTAGACGGCAGATCGAGAGTGCGACCTTACTCTATTTTATGTGTCTGTTTTACGACGGAAGCTCTAAACGTGCATTTTTCACATTTTTTCACATTCGGATGAGGTACAGAAAGTTTAATACGCAAGAAGTTAGCCTAAAAGGCCAGTTTATAAACCAAGATTTAAAATATGTGATGAGTCCATTGTTGTGCATTCGTGCATTGTGAACATCCGGCCAAACAAAATCCGAATAAGCCATGTGATAATGAAGTTAAAGGGTAGAGGACAACACACTTAGTCTAGCATCACTTTCTCGCTTCGCCTTTCTACTCTTTTCGACATCCAAGAACTAAAGTTTTCACTATCTGTCGTGAGCACACCCACTTTGGCATCCTTGCTTGACTAGAGCGAATACGTCATCGTCAAGCAGGAAAAGAGCACGCAAAGACTTCTAAACGGGTCACTCGCGTCAGGGTGACGCTCGGTTGACCCTAGCGGCGGGGTGAAGAAGCGCTGTAGATGGTGGCCTAAGTAGCAGCACTGCAGGATCAAGGTGGCGCCGCTTCGTGTCGCAGATGTCTGAAAAAAGTCACAGCTTTGCCGCAAAGGCGAAGCAATGAACGCGATAGCTCTAAATTGGAACGTCATGTGCAAAATGGAAGCAGATTAAAACGTGCCCCACGTTTCTCACGCACAATAGACGCACTAAACGTACTTATAGGTACAGATTAACATGAATAAGCACCTTAGTTGTTACTTCGCCATGTCTGAAAAATGCGCTTTTCTCGCAAATGGAGGCTGTGCAACGATTGCAGTGACCTTTGCGTGCCCGGTAACTACAACAGAATTGTTCCAACTAAACTCATCGCCTAGCCGAGACGTACCATGCTCCCCACTGCAAGAATAGGGCGCGCGATCGAGCGTACACCTCCTTATTTTCTACGCATCTAAAGTACACGGCAGAGATAAGAGCCGCCGCGCCCTCTCTGCACCATCTTCCTGATAATGCTGAAAACACAATATTTCTCCTCCCCCCTAGATGCCCGCGAACATCGGTAAGTGGTAGATATGAATAGCTTGCCGTTTGAACATTGAAGGAGTTGCCTCTTGGTGGCTCAGTGGTTAACCCCTCGCATTCACGACGTGAAGGCCCCCCGCTTGATTCCGCGTGCCACAGTCTTTTTTTCTGGGACTTATTTTTTTCTTACGTTTTCATGTATATATATTGATACGTATACATGTACGTAGCATGACAAGGACGCAGACGTCGACACCGATGCCGGTGGTGAAATCCAGCCGAGAGAGTTTAAATAATTGCTATCGTGATAAAATGAAGTGAATAGAAGCTAAAGCTTCCCAGGGGGGGGGGGGGATTTTCTCACTATACATGCGAAGGGGACTGGACATGAGCTAGGAATGGACGCAATAAATGTTTTTGATGAAAAATTATTCACGGTACGCAGAGCTGTGGTATTCACTCAATTTTATCTCTTCTTGTTCGAGACACGTAAAAGTCGGTGTCTTTTTATGACCATTGCAAGGAGCGTTAGTCGCTGTGGAGCGAGTCTGTGAGTCTTTTAGGCATTAGTATACGTATTCTTCTTCGCTTGGGCTAAGAATGCATGCTCGCTTCCTTCTTTGTTCACCACTTCATTGACTTCCGCTGATGCAACGTACTTAAAAGCACAATTCCCAAGCTCGAAATAAACATTCTTTCATGCAAGGTTTTCCTGAAAGTTTTCCAGTATGTCACTAAGTACCCTGAAAAGAAACACACAGGAACAGGCATATTTCTGCGTGTTCTTAGAATAGTTCACTCAGAATAAAATGTTCATCCGATTAGAGTATTTGAGTGGACCAACCATTTGTCCGGTGAGGTGCAACTGTGAGGACTGAAGGTTGCCTGGTAAGGTGGGAATGTCAGGACTAAATGTTCGTCTCTTGAGCTGGTTTTTTTTGGATTGTTAGGCTTGGTGCCGTTAGTCCCTAAAGGAGGTAACGGTTGTGGACGCCCCATTAGTCACCCCCCCCCCCCCCACGGTTTTCTAGTGACTAAAGTACTCGGCTGGTGACCCAAATGTCGCGACTTCAAATCCTAGCTGCTGCGGCTGCTTTTTCGATGGAGGCGGAAATGTCGTAGTCCCGTGTTCTCATATTTGGGTGCACGTTAAAGAACCCCAGGTGGTCGTATTTCTGGAGCCCTCCAGAGCTACGGCGTCTCTCATAATCATATGGTGGTTTTGGGACGTTCAACCCCACAAATCAAATTAAATCAGATGGTGAAGGTGGCTGGTTGGGACTTGCTTTTCTGGGCCGCTTCAGTCGTCGCCCTTACAACCGGCTCAAATGTGTATGGATGTATTCAGCGAAGTCGAGTAGTTGCTGTTAGTATGGCGAACTGTGAAAGTCGGACCAATTTCAACAGATAAGCACGCCATTGACTGCCGTCGAGCGCAGTCAGCTGTCCTCACCTTATAACTGACAGTGACGTCATGGAGCTTCGACCAATCACAACGGCTGCCAGACTCGCGAGCGTGGCCGCGGCGCCTGTTGTTCGTTTTCGGCAAAATAGTTATTTACGTTGGTTTACCTAAATTTTGACTTTATTTTCGACTTCACCGCACAAAATCGCGTATCATGACACCATATTCTTGTTTTCTTGAGTGTTTTAGTGTCCCTTTAAATCTGTGAAGCGCACTACAGTGGTCATGTCGAAAGGCGTTGTTGCGATCTGATTTGCCAGAGGTTCTACCAATCCCAGTTGGGCACACACAGTATCTCGATCCACTTGATCAGATAATCTTCGTTTATTGTCCTTACAAATAATTTGCTTTAACCTTACGTAGAGTCATGCATGTATGTTGCGTGTTTTCTACAAAACCTTTCACTTGAACCAGAGCCATGGACGTCTAATTTTACACGACGACTTTTGCAAAGTCCTGTACTGGATATCCTTGAACAGACACAAGAGCT